TTTTTTTTTTTTTTTTTGTTGTTTCTTTGTGTATGTGTGAGCCTACAATAGGGATTCTCTGGTGTGCAGAATTTATGGTTAATACATACATATATATATATATATATGTGTGTAGATATATATATATATATGCACATCTATGAAATAATATTTTAATGCAATATTGTTTTTTTCTTCTTCTTACCTTTTTCTCTTTTACAGACCTTACTGTATGGTGTGGGTTCTGAAAGCCCGCCCCACCACACACCCCTCTGCTAGGTGCGGAAAAAAAAAGGAGGTGAAAGGCATTTTCAACACTTTGTCCTTTTTGACAAGTAACGAACTTTTTTGCAGTGGCGGAGGGTAATATTTGATAACACTTAGTGTGGTGTTTTTTTTTCTTTTTTTGTTTTGATTGTTTGTTTGTGATAATGATAAATTAGATATCTATTGTGAATTATATTCTTTTCCCCCATTTTTATTTTTGACATTCTCTCTGTCTCTCTTACTCTTACTCTTACTCTTCATAGAAGTGGATTGACAAAGATAGGTAGTGAGCTGTTATTGTCTTCACCTCATTAAGCGTGCAGTTTATTCATATATATATATATATATATATATATATATATATATATGCCTCATTGGTGTAAAGTAAATAGCGATGATAAAAAAGGATGGTTCTTCTGATTCCATACTGTGGGAAATGACCCCAACGCCATTGGTGGAAGCTTTCCATACAGCCATGTGGTTTCTCCTGCAATACTATAGAAATGTGGTGCACATGAGAGATCTACTCACATGGCGTAGGCTCTTGATGATACCAGAAACTACAATCTCTGGTAAACTGACTCCAGCTGGTTATGCAGAGGAATTGGAATTATTGTTGCGCCTTTCTTTGCGAACAGCCACTTGGATAAGAGTGCGGCAAATAGAGGAGAAGTATGCGGAGTACATGCACGTTAGACCCGCACTCTCTCGGCTTACAAGACATTCTTCTTCTTCTTATACTACTAATACTAATATTACTAATATTACTAATATTGAAGAAAAAAATGAGGGACGAGAGGAAGAAGAGGAAGAAGAAGTGCTGTTGGGCGTTTTCAATGGAATATATATTGCCAAGTCTCTCTCTTCAGCTGATAAGACGACTACTACTAGAGAGATCCTGCGAACGGCGAGAGTGAGTGAATTGCGGCAACTCGTCCAGTTACAATCATTGCCGAGGCGGAAGCCGCAATCTCCGTTTATAAATAACTTGAGAAACGAGGAAGAAGTCCATCAGAATGATAATGATAATAATAATGATTTCCTAGAAATGGATTCATCTGTAGCTGGTAGAACTTCTTCTTCTGTAGGGCGAAGTTCCTCTGCAATACCATCACGAAAAGAGGAATTAATTGATCGTATTCTCTTAATAAAGTGTCATGAATCCACATTTGCGGAAGCATGGGATACTCTCATTGGTCCTATTTGTAAAGTTAATCAATCATTTAAAGCCAGTGTAGAGAAATTCTGTGAAATGCTCCATGTAATGATATCTCCTTGTGGAATTGGTGGTCTCATTTCAGGAATGAATGCCTTTTCTCTGATTTATCCACCTTCTATCTCTCTTTTCTTCTTGGCGCCTAAATTAATCGCACGACGACGAGAAGAAGAAGAAGAAATTGAAGTTGATGTTGATGTTGTTGTTGGTGGTAGTAGTAGTATACACACATCGTCTGTGCCACCGTGGTGGACGCGAAGTGTAAATACTGAAGAGTTGTATACATTCTCTGTGCCACTTTGTTTATTTTCCTCTTCTGAAACCCTTGAAAGTTACTTGCAGGCCTTGCGTGTACATCACAAATTACTCCAAGCGAATGAAGGGAGGACGTGGAGGCGTTGGAATATGAATTTTATCATGACCCTTCACAATAATATAGAAGCTGGAATCTTTCAATTACAACAACAAGAATTACAAGATCATAAGCAGCAGAAAAATCTGCGATTATCGTCGAATGATATTACAAATCAAAGAGGAGAAATATTACAGAAAAAGAATCCTCTCAAAGATTCATTTTATGTGGATGAGAAACTAAGTTATAATATGCCTACAGTGGAAAGTCTACTTCAACAAGGTGGATTATTATATGAACATCTTCTTCCTTTTCTTCCTAAACATGCCTGGTTTGCTTGTGCAGAGCTCTTGATAGAAGTATTGCAATATAATAAAAAGTGGGATTTGGCGAATAAGTGGCTCTGGCGATTATTAAATGAACCTGTTCATGCTGTGATCTCACCATGTGGATCAGTGAACTTACCCTTCTATTATCGTTTCCAGAAACGTGGAGAGTGGTGGCATCGAATGGCTCAAAATCTTCAGCATTTGGGTAATAAAAAGGAAGCATTAGAACTTCTTATATCGCAACAGAAAGACTGGCGGGAACAGGAAACGGCAAAAAATTATTTTAAGATGGAAAAACCAGAAAGTCTTCCTGTTTCTATACAACGACGTGCCCGTATCCTACGTGCACTCTTTCCACCTATGAAAACAACGAATGAGGAGAAATCTTCACAGCAGAAAAATCTGGCATTATATAATGCGATTGGTGAATATCATCGATTACATTTTTGTCGACGGTCAGATCGTATTGCCATTGAGGGAATGTTAGCGAATCTACACAAATCGCTACGTCGTTGGACTCCCTTTCCTTCTTCTTATATGAGTTTTACCAAACACTTACTGAGAGCGAAGGAGATCACAATACATGCTTCCCGAGATCCAGTCCATCATACACTTTGGAGTAATCCACATCATACATGGGACGCTTGTCAAGTAGAGGAATATGTACTCCGTTGGTTTGGGGCCACCAGACATTCTTCATTTCACTCATTGAAGAATGAGGATAAGAAGAAGATGATGAATAAAGATAATGAGAGTTGGATTGGAATTCATTGTGAGGGACGTTGGATTGAGTGTTTAGCACGTCTCCTCTTTCAGGATGCTTATTTTTTAAATCCTGATACTGAAGAAGATAAGGAGATCTCTGGATCACCACAGTTTGTTTGGCTCTCTCAAATACAGAATGAACCACTGGATCTCAGTACGTCTATTAGTTTTGTTTGTCGGCGTCAGAAAATCATAGAAGAGCGATTAAAGTTTTTTGAACAGTGTCCTCGAGACACACTTATTGAATACGTTAAACAGTCATGTCGATATAGTAGGGATCCACCAGTTCCTGCAAATCGCATAGATAATACAGTAAATACTCCCAAGGAATCATTTCATGAGAATATAGATGAGAATGAGAATGAGGAGGAAGTAAGTTTACTGGGGAGTGAAGATGATGAAAATACAATACTTCCTGGTCAGTTAACACAACAGAAAGATGATGAGGAGGATCAACAAGAAGAAAAAGAAAAAGAAAAGAAGAAGGGATCATCTTTTTCCTTCTTTCCCTCTTCCTCTGTGGGACATCGGGTAGATATTGGGGATTTCCCTTTATTAAGTCTATTACAATCCATCCCACAAGGTCCTTTATGTGCTCTCCTCCGCTGTATTTATCTCTCCCCATCGGAGAGTGGTTACAATATCTCTTTCTCTGGTTTTCCAGATCTCGTCTTGTGGCGCGAAACCCCATCTCTGTTCAGTGAGACTAATTTTAAATTAGTGGAGGTGAAGGGCCCAAACGACACATTAAGTACTAAGCAGATTGCCGTTATTGATACATTGTGTAGATGTGGATTTGATGTCTCTGTCGCTCGTGTTGTAGACATGAATGAAGGAATGGAAAATAAAGGTAGACGTAGTGGTAATCAAGTTTCCCCGGATACTGTGGATGATGTTATCTTGTTAGATGCTGAACCACACACACCCAGGGTGTGAAGAGTCCATTTTCTCTCTACAATGATAAGATAAGGTTGATGCATCAGTAAGTGTAAGTGTAAGTGTGGATGTTAAAGAGTGAAGTTTGCTCTTTTTTTT